TTCACTGCTTTTTAAAAAATATTTTTTCTTTCTACCTTTTGACCCCCTTTAACCATTTATATGTATTTAATTGTTGCCAGTGTCCTCATCTGTCTTGTTCATTACTCTGGCCTACCTAGAACAGGACCTACTTCCTAGCACCTTTAATAAGATCATCACAAAATACTTATTAAAAAATGAATGCACATGAAAGCCCATATTATGAAATACTAGAACTACACTACTTAATGCCTGTAATCAATGTGCCAGGGTTTTTGTCATTCATTGTTAGTGTTTCTATTCCTTGCAGCAAAGCTGTAAGTTACGCGTGTGTATTTCCCTGCAACTGTTGCTCAGGGAGGAAGCCTATGGTCACATGCACACTGTTAGGAATTGGCAGAAATGGAATTTGCATCCAGGTCCAAACAAATCAGTGTTCCACACTGTCTCTCTGACACCCCCAGTCAGAAATAATTGGTCTCTTCTTTAAGCTGTAGAATCATTTTGACTCCACTTTACCATCTTCTGTAATATTTTTTTTGAGGGGGGGGGGCATATTTATGTTTCATTCCAGTTTCCTAGTGAATTTATTACAAAGACTATGTCTCCTGAGTCGCCATCACTGTCTAACATTCTGCTTATCCACGTCACTTAGCAAACATTTACAGCAGGAAAAAATAGTTGGAAGTGCAGACTATACGATCATGGAGCGTTATTATCTCTATGAGAGTAGCATGTTTCTTGAAAAACAAAAACCAAAACCAAAACCTGACAAATTAACCGACCTCTAGAAAGCAACAGAAAGAAAGCTCTTGAGCTCAGTCTGAACTCCTAATGAGGTAAAATTTTGTGTTCTGAAAATTTTGATTACCCTAGGAATATTTATGCTCTTCTAGAACAACTGATTAAAAACATTTGTGCTTGTTTCAGTTCAGCTTATATTTTCTTTTCATTTTTTGTTTTGAAAATGTTAATGATTACACAACTTTTCTACGAGTAATAGGCCTGTTTCAGAGTGTGCTCTTATAAGACTATTTTTATCAACTACTTTGTCAGCAGGGTTCTCAAGCCACACACATAAAATATCTCCTGTGGCTAATTAAACCCACACAGACTATTAACTTAATTACTAGTAACTGAATTAAATTGTAACTTAGTTACAATTTAAGTAACTTTACTGCCCTAAACAAAGGGTAATCCATGTGACTAGGATTTACAAGTCACTTTCTGACTGTTCCATAGTACCTCACCATAGCTTGTCATTTTCCCCTCAATAACCATTTTGTAATTTACACACTAATGCAACAATCATCCTACACTGATAAATTTCATTGCATAGACACTCCCCCCAAATAATATGATCTTTTTCTTTGTTTGAATATACCTCTAGAGCAGTTCTCAGTTAAAAACTAAGTGTTAGGATTTAAATGACAATGCTATGGTATTTGTTATTCAATGATATCGATATAGTTTAAATAATCATGTTATAGGGAAAAATTTTGAAAAGAAAAGATGCTTTACAATGTGATATGCGTGCAATTGAGGAGTATTTACTTAAGGATAAATATTAATTAGGATAATTAAAGTATTAATAAAGTATTAATTAGGATATTATTTCATATTTTATTAAGAAATGTCAGCAGTTAGGAAATGAATAAGTTCTGAGGCTCTAATATACAACATGGCTATTATAGTTAGCAATAATGTATTGTATGCTTGAAAATTGCTAAAAGAATAGATCTTAAATATCCTCATCCCCCTCCCTACACAAAAGATAACTATGTGAGGTAGTGAATGTGTTAACTAACCTTATTGTGATCATTTTACAGTTTATGCATTACCAAATCATTACATTGTACATCTTAAGTGTACACAATGTCAATTATATCACAATAAAGTTGAGAAAAGGTCAGGCAAGGAATTGTAATAAAAATGAATCTTTTGGAGAGCTTTCTTGAATCATCTCAGGTGTCATATAAACTAAAACACAGTTTACTTTTAAATTTAAAAAGTATGTACACATGACATATTTTATCTTCACTTGGAGGATAGGGGCATAATACATTAAATAATATTAGTATATCATTATTCCAAAGCATTTAAAAATCATCCCTCTGCCCAGCCGGCATGGCTCAGTGGTTGAGCGTCAACCTATGAACCAGGAAGTCATGATTTGATTCCCGGTCAGGGCACGTGCCCAGGTTGTGGGCTTGTGCAGGAGATAGCCAGTCAATGATTCTCTCTCATCATTGAAGTTTTTATATCTTTCTCCCTCTCTTTTCCTCTCTGAAATCAACAAAAATATTAAAAAATAAAATAATTTTTAAAAAGATTGAGTGACTTTATTTCTGGGTTCTCTACAGCCCAAGTGTCCATCAGTAGGAGAATGGATAAAACAGCTATGGTATAGAAACACAATGGAATACTACTTGGCCATAAAAAGGAAGAAAATGTTACCCTTTGCAACAGCATGGATGAACTTGTAAAACATTATACTAAGTGAAATAAGCCAGTCAAAGAAAGACAAGTACCATATAGTTTCACTCATATGTGGAATTTAATGAACAAACTGGTCTGCCTGGCAAAATTGAGACAAACTCACAGATAGAGAACAGGAAGACAGTTCTGGTAGAGGGATTGTTGGGGAGGGTGGAGGAATTGAGCAAAAAAGAAAAAAAAGAGAGAGGACTCATGGAAATAGGCAACACTATGGTGATTGTGGGTGGGGGGAAGAGGAGGATATGAAAGAGGGCATAGAAGTGATAAATGGTATTGGGAAAAATGAAATAAGAACTAATGGACAGGGATAACTAATGGACAGAGACTATGGTATGGTGAGTGCAGGGGGCTTGGAGGTGGACAGGAGTATAGGTGGGATAAATAGTGATGGAAACAATAAATAAAGAGGGGAAAAAAGAGTGGGTGAGATAGCAATGTCACAGAATTTCTCTACACTGGTTGAAATGCCTTCACAAAAAACTGGAAGGCAAAGAAAGTTAAAGACAAGTATTCAGAATCTTCCATACATACTCCTCTACCTATGGAGTCCACAAGACAAAACACCAGTTACACATAGGTCCTCGTCCTATTTCTGTAATGAATTTCTAAAATTTAATCTGACAGGAATTCTTACATTCCATAACGCTTGGATATTTAGGATTAATATCTTAAACAATATTTGAAAAAACAATACTTGTATGAGTAACCCTCCTCTTCAGAAGTACTAGGAGAATTCTTCAGCATCAAATAGTTTTATTTTAGTAGACAAGATGTCAAGGTTTTATGCCTTTGAAATGCATCTTTCTTTAATTCTAATCTGGGTGATTATAAATATAGCATTGTTACAGAAGACAATATTTTATAGGCTTCAAGAAAAAGACTAGATGACTATAAAGTCCATTTTCATATCCAAATGAGTGGGATTCTATTATTCTCTGAGGAAAGGGATAGCACTGTATTACTGATGACATGATTCAAATAAAACAGCAATAAAATAAAATTAAATAAATAAAATACATACAAAATAAATATAGTATTCATAAAATAAAATTAAACAGTAATAGAAAATTATAATGTTAGTTCCCTAAATTTAGTTTCATGCGCAAATGCCTTATTCTAAAGATCTTGGTGGTTTATTTACTGAATTAGTGTCAGTTCATTTATCTGATGGAAAGAGAGGTAATAGGTATTCAGATTTGAGATACAGCTTATAAAATCTAGCTGTCAGTTTATATTTTATTTTAATATTTATTTTAAGATCTATAAAATACATGGATAAAGCTTAAAATAATGAAACCTTAAATAAAGGGCTGTTTGCTTCATAACCACAAGACTTGATGGTGGTCTCAGAAATCAGTCTGGTTTATTGGGCTTCCTTTGCTTTTTTACCTGAATTTGGAAACATAAGAAGTCCTTCCATTTATTTCAACTGGGTGAGTGAGGAAGTGCTCAATTTATCTTCTAGTAAAAAGTCTAGTGCTATTTGTTTTGTGGCTTTGTAATCTCTATGTTTTAAAACCTCTTGACATTTGCAATGGCACCAATTTATCTGCCTGATTCATGTGATCTTGATGATTAAAGAATTCCACCCAAAGATAAAACTTATTGAAGACAAAGATCAGGAGACTGCCTGAGCCTCATGCACAGGATGTGCACATTCACCTGATTCCAGACCTACCAGCAACGAACCTTCTTCCTCTTGCGCTGGATACAAGTGGTTCAGCACAGAAAAGGGCCAAACAGGCTGCTGGTTTCCGTGGCCTGAGCTTAAGCCCCACCCAAACGGAGAATCACTCCCTTCCAAAAAAGCAGTAAAAATCCTATGACTTTAGATATTCTTTTATGCAATTTATCATTAATAGGAGTACTGCCAAGGTCTTCCCAAACAAACAGAAAATACTAAGTAAAATAAGAAATCACCAAAAAGTTTTTGTAGTGATAAATCATGGATTGTTGACAACTGTACAAATATCAGTTATAAATCAAAATTATTGTTCTTGTATTTTAAAAAGTCCTGAGTATCTAATTATACACGATTGAATTATTTTTAAGAGAATCAAGTTAATAGTAAGTAATGAGACATTCATATATGTATAAGCATAAACACACATATTTTAAAAAAATTCTCATTCAAGAATATGTTTATTGACTTTTAGAGAGAGGCAGAACCATTGATGTGAGAGAGAAACACCAATCCATAGATCAGTTGCCTCATGTACACACCCCGATAAGGGACTGAAGCCAAAACCTAGGTATGTGCCTTGACCAGGAATTGAACCAACCACCTTTTGGTGTCCCGGACGATGCTGCAACCAAGTGAGCTACACTGGCCAGGGCATAAACACACACATATTTTTAAGAGAATCAAATTCAGAGCAATAAATGAAAAGGAATCATCATGAACTTTTGACAAAACAATCAAAATGTAATAATTATTACATGGATTTTGCATTGTATATTCCTGTCAAATGATGTATAGCAAGTAAGCATTTCCATGTGAGAGCATGTTATGTGGGTCATACCTTTTCATGAACTTTCTGGCCAGGTTCCATCCCTTCAAGATGTTCTGATTCCGTGGATCCCTCACTTGATGCCATTTTCCTTTGTATATGAACATTTTGTTCACGCAAGGCAACGATCTGTAAAATAAAAAGACAGGCTTTTAAAATCTAAAGAAGAACATAAATTATAAAACATTTGAATTTACTTGAATGTGGTTAAGAACTAATGAGCACAGTCAGAAAATAAACATTGTTTTACTCGTTATTATTTCAAAAATTGACTAGCATGTTGAATAACATTTATAATATTTATAGGAATGTGAAAATTTTCTTTAAAAATTTTCTACTTGGAAAAGGTATCTATCAGGTTGGAAATGTACCTAAATAAAAAGTATGATCCATGTGTTGTTCAATCAGAAATTACCTTCAAAATTAATTTATGAAATGTGATAAAATTTGCATTGGTCTGTGTTTTTAAAGCATAAACGAAACATAAATGAAAAGATTGAAAGCTGAAGACTAATTATTAGCACAATCATTTACCCTAAGAAATAATGTATCTGCAATTTAAAAACTAACAAACACATAAGCTGGACTTAAATAGCTGTAGCACTATCATAAGTACTGAGAATTAAATTGGTCTCACTGTCTTATTTTAATGACCACTGTCTTAGCTCAGCTAGTCCAAATATAGTAGTTAATTAAAGAAAATCACCAACCAATAATCATCAAATAAACAAAATATATAAATTAGTTGGGTGTTTGCACTGCTACCTGCCACTGCTGCAGTGCCCAGGTGGACCGTGATGTGTTCACAAGACCAAGTGAACTTGCACATGCGCTCCAGCACTTGAACATATGGCATTTCATTTTCTAGGGGCATATCACCACACCACGAAGAACAACGATGTAAATGCCACTTCTTGAAGTACTGCAATCACTAAATGATTAGCCTCCTTGCTCCCATTCTTGCTCATCTACAATCTTTCTCAAAGCAGCCAGTTTCTTCTTTTAATTGTACATTAATATTGTCTCATTTCTCAGCTTTCTACAGAACCTCAATGTCTTCCCAACTTATTGAGTCTGCATTGAAATTTCTTAACAAGGTCTCTAACTTCCTACATGATCCCTTTGGCCACAATTACCTCCTTTCTGTTGCCTAAACGTACCAGACTCTTCCTTACCCAGAACTGAGAAACACGATCTTCCTGCCTGAACATCCTTCCCCAGCTCAGACCAGCCCGCACAATCCCAGCTTTCACAACTCAGCTGACACACCACTCGTCAGAGAAAACATGCCTTGCTGTCAAACACTTATTAAAATATCCCTGTTTATTTTTGTGGGTGTTTCACTCATTAAAATATAATGTTTTATTCCCTATTTACTCACTTGGTTTGTTTATTTAGCTAGCAGAAGAACAAATAATATCTCACGGGAAAATAGTTTTCAAAGGAATGTCTTATTGGAAACATTTTCATATGAAGCAGCATCATATTATTATGTGCATAGTATTCAGTAAAAATGTGTTCAGTTACATAATGAATGAATATGGAAAAACAATGAGTGTATAAAACTACCTCATCTGGAAATAACAAAAGATAAAGATTTAAAGTGTTTGAGACATCCTTTCATGTTAGTGTAAATGGAGTAAATCAAAGGAAAACCAAAATGAAATAGCCCTGCATGTATCATTCTTATATAGGCAAGTTGTGCATACATTTTCAATCCATTGAAGGCCCATGGAAATGTAGTCAGGAGACATTTCCACAATCAATTTAGCGGATCAACCATGACTTGTCAAGTGTTTGTTGACATTTGTTTCTAAGTGCCCACCATCCCTGCATATTCCTTGGTAACAACATCTCACCTTTTCATTGGAGTTTCCGAATTTCCCTTTCAACTCTAATCCTAGAGGGACTGTCAATTAAGGGGTCAGAGCTGATGGCAAATAGCTGGGCACATGGTCCAAGTCAGGGCAATTAGCATGTTCTTTGAGATGCTTCTGGGAGAGCTATGGGGGGAGATTCTCTCTGCTATGGAAGATAAGCTGGTAGGAGATGATCAGGGTGCTGTTTGCCATTATTGTAGTTCTGCCTGTGGAGAAAGCCAGGGGCTGAGATGGAGTCCTGATGAATGTTGCTGTTCCTGATTCTAGCTTTTTTTTCAACTTCTTTTGCCATTTTTTTTTTAATCATCCGTGGTTTCTCCTGACTTTTTTTAAATATTATTTTTCAATTACAGTTTACATTAAATATTATTTTGTATTAGTTTCAGGCATATATACAGTATAAGTGGTTAGATGATCATATACTCTATAAAGTGTTCCCCCTGATATTCCCAGTACCCACCTGGTACCATACATTGTTATCACAATAGTATTGACTATATCTATCTCTACCTCTGGCATTTCAGCAATAAAAGCCAAAAATTTCCCTTTTGTGTTCAAACTAGTTTGGATAGTTTTCTGTCACCTGCAACTAAAAGTGTCCTTGCCATGTACCTTGGTTGCAGGCTCAGTCCCCTACCCCAGACCAGGTGAGTTCTGGAGGCAACCAATTGATGTGTCTCTCTCACATCCCTGTTTCTCTCTCTCTCTCTCTCTCTCTCTCTCTCTCTCTCTCTCTCTCTCTCTCTCTCTTTCTCCCCTCCGCATCCACCTCTCTCCCCTCCACTCTCTCTAAAAATATCAATGGAAAAATTATCCTTGGATGAGGACTAAAATAACAATAACAATAACAATAATAATAATAGTTATAATAATAAAAGTATCCTTGCAACTATAGCAGGGAACATGGAAGGCAACACAGCATATGGAATTGCTAAGAGGAGGTTTTGTAAAATTACTAATAATTTACCAGGCACAATGGGAGAAAATTTTTCTTATATAAGAGCTCTGTGTGTTCCTAGTACTACAGCTTCACTATTTCTGTGCAAAAAGTATCTGGAGGAAGATGGAATTCGGACACGAGACAAAAAACTAAAGCGGTTCAACTAAAGCTCTGGCCTCTGAGTGCTCCTATCTTTCTGGCATTCTGCTTGTGAAGGAAGCTCTGAGCCCATCCAATGGACTTCTGCTGGTCTTTCAAGCCTGGAAAATTCCCCAGCTCTCATTCCTTGTTTCTACCAAACTCTCTCTGGGATTCTACCATGTCTTCCAACAGATTCTCTCTTATCCCCTGGTCTTTGAACAACTGTTTTCCGTGCCAACCTGGAGAGATTCATTCACTTCACAAATTTTCATTGAGAACAGGCATTGGGGAAAAACAAATCAAGGGGAAAGAAGAAATTCTTGCCTTAACAAAACTTTAATTCTTGTTGGAGGAGAGAAACTATTAACAAAAATAAGTAGCATACATTTTTTTAAAATATATTTTATTGATTTTAGTAGTATACAGTTTTAAATGGTGATAATTGCAAATTGTAAATGAAAGCAGGGGAGAGGTGCTGTGAGGTGTAGTTTCATTAGGAATTAGGTGCTTTCTGAGTGTAGACCTGAAGACACGGGACAAAGACAGCAATGTGGGTATTGGAGAGAACTCTCCAGGCAGAGGGTAGGGAAGATGTAAATTCTTATTGAAAAAAGAGTTGAGATTCATGCAAATGTTTCAGTGAGTTCTTCAAATGATGTAAAATGTCTTTTCAAAAGGAAACTAAACACCAGTGAAAATCGATGCCTTAGATTACAGTGGTTCTCAACCTTCCTAATGCCACGACCCTTTAATACAGTTCCTCATGTTGTGATGACCCCCAACCATAAAATTATTTTCGTTGCTACTTTCAAACTGTAATTTTGCTACTGTTATGAATCGTACTGTAAATATCAGATATGCAGGATGTATTTAGGTGACCCTTGTGAAAGGGTCGTTCGACCCCCAAAGAGGTCGCGGCCCACAGGTTGAGAACTGCTGCCTTAGAACCTGAGGTGTGAGGAAATATACAGAAACATGTGATTCTTTAAAAAAAAAAGTGATTTTGGAGAAAATACAATTTATATTCCCGAATTTTGAAATTTCTCAAGAGTTTAAGATGTATTAATCCATTTATTCAACAAATACTCATTAATCACTGTTCTAAGTATCAGACACCGCCAGGAAAAAGGCAGATCAAGCAATAAGATTGCATTCTAGCAAAAAAGAAAAAAAAGAAAGAAAAAGAAGAAAATGCAGTAAGATAACAAAATAGCAATGAATTGTTAAATTCTTAAAATGTGCTTAAGATTGTGCTAAACACATTATAGAAATTTGCATCTTTAAAACAACTGTTTACCTGTACTATGCTTTCTAACCAAGTCTGAGATTTCTTCAAAGCAGACTTTGAGACATGTAATAATGTGCATGTAGTTTATTCATCCTTAAATAATCTTGAAAGGCCTTGATTGAGTCCTGGCCTCTTTAGGTGTAACTGACGATATGACCTTGTACACATTACTTAAACTGAAGTTCATGCTCCTCTGTTATAAAATAAGGGATAATAATACCTTTTAGTGTTTGTGCTATAAAGTACTTAGTCAACTTTGGTGTACAGTAAAACTTTGTTACATAATAACAAAGACCTCCAGTCACCTCTTCAACTTTATCTTCCTATCCACACTTCGTGTTCTAGCTTATTGAAGGTATTCCATTCACACACATAGGAAATGCCATCTTGACTGAGTTTTTATTCACTTGGATTACCCTTTGTGAGGCTATAGGAAAAAAATATATATATATGTATGTATATGCATATACATACATACATACATACATACACATACACATACATATATATATGTTGGTCTCTGCCTCCAATATCTGGCATAACGTTCCTAAAACCCTTGTAAATTCCTACGTGATAAGAGCAGTGGGAGAATCTTTTGTTCCATTGAGGTGACTCTGGGTGTGTTCCTGGATGGAGGCTGGTCACCAGAAGGCCTAAGCTATGATTGGAAGCTTGGCATTTTCAGTTCCATCTCCCATTCTCCAGAGAGGGGAGAGGGAGTGGAAACGGAGCTGTTTGATCATGCCTATGTAATGCTGCCTCCATAAAAATCCCCAGAGTACAGGTGCCAGGGAACTTTCCGGTTGGTGATTAATCCATGTACTGGGAGGGTGATGCACCCCGATTTCACAGGGACAGAAGCTCTTGCACTCAGGATGCT